AACGAAAGGCGGCAGAGATCTACTCTCACCGGCGCGATTCCAAGAAACGGCTCTCGCCCACGGAAGAAGAGACATTGGCGCAACAAGAAGCCGAAGAGCTTCGGCGGAAGAGCCTCACCGAGGCACGCGGAACGCTCGCCTGGGAACAGGACGAGAAAAGCGCCTCCAATGAAGGGGGGTGGGGGAGCGCCGGCGGATGGGGAACGAGCGACACCAGCGGCTGGGGCGTCGCAACCAGCGGATGGGGCGCAGCAACAGGCGCATACATCGGCGGATGGGGCGCCGCACAAGGCGGCGAAACGAGCGGCTGGGGAGCTTTCCGCGAGGATCAAAGGGGGGAAGAGGAAGAAGAACCTGCGCATGCTGAGGTCGAACCTCCCGTTGTTCCTCTCGGACGACCTCCGCGCTGCCCTGCGCTAGGACCACCGCCGCCTGACATCCCTCCAAGTAGTGACCCCTGGGACACCATTGACTGGGGAAGTGAACCACTCACCCCGCGACGCACTGTCTACGGACCTGCCCCTGAACCACGCGAACCGGCGTTCGTACTTGGCACGATCCCCGGAACCAACATCCCCTACTCCATCATCCCCGACAGAGAATTTCTCGCCCTCATGCTAACAACGGCGAACGAGGAAGAAGAAGAGAACGAGGGAGCAGCGCCTACACCTGCACCGGCACCTGACGAAGACCCCGCAGCCGCACTGGAGCGCTACATGCGCACATCTGGATTCCGTGCCGACGACGCCATCTGGCATCAGCACCTAGGTCACCCTTCGCGCGTGACCCTGAAGAACTGCATCGAAGCCGGCGTCTTTGCACCTGGCGCGCTGTTGCGCCCTGACGGCTCCGAAGTGAGAGGAGGGACTTACCCGCGCAGCTGCACTGTCTGCCCCGAAGCTGCGCTGAGTCACCAGCCCTTCCCCCTACTTGAGCCAGGAACCAATCGCTACGCCAAGCTTGAGAAGGTTTACAGTGACTTTCTCAACGTAGGACACTGCGGCATCAACGACGAACTCTACACACTCACCTTCGTCGACGCCGGAACGCGCCACGTGTGGGTTGTAAACGTGGAAGCGCGCAGCAGAGCCTACGAAGCATTTCGTCTGTGGCTGGCGCACGCGCAGCGGCAATCTGGGGAGAAATTGAAGATCTGGCAGTCCGATGGTGCGGCGGAGTTCAGGAGCAAGGAACTGCAGGATTACCTCGCGCAAAAGGGGATCGAGCATCACATCTCCCTCCCCTACGCGCACCAGCAGCAGGGCGTAGCGGAGCGCACGAATCGCACCCTCATGACGAAGGTACGGGCACTAATGCGGCAGGCAAAGCTCCCGCCGATCTACTGGACCTACGCGATGCACCACGCCGTGCGGGTGCACAACCTGCTGTCAACCACCGCAATCACCGGGAACTCCTCGCCGTACGTGAAATGGACGGGAAGAAAGGGGGACACCTCCATGCTCCGCGTCTGGGGCTGCATGGTTCAATACCGACCGCCAACATCAACCATAGGGAAGTTCAAAAGGCGCGCGCGCTGGGGAATCCATCTCGGTATCAGCCACGAACACAAGGCATGGATCATCCTGGATCTCCTAAGCCAGAAAATCAAGAATGCGCGCGATGTCATCTTCTACGAGCGACTGTTTCTGCAACAATTTCGTGACGACGAGCAGACGAATGCAAACCGCGTCTACGCCAACGAGGGCCACAGCTACGCCTCACCTGAGGACGAAGCAGCAGCAGCAATTCTGGAGCAGGGTCCCAGAGGCGAATTCACAAGGGGCGATCGCCGCGACGACGACGACGACGATGATTCAGGTGAAGGAGGAACAGGCACAACAGGAGGAGGCGCAGCAGGAGGAAGCAGAAGCGGCGGAGACACAACACCGCCAGCACCGCCTGAACCAGAAAGAGATGATGACAACGTGCAGGAAGTCGTCACTCAACATCGCCACGACAGCACTGTCACCGGTCTCCAGCTACTTGGACTACACGCTGCCATCTCCACTGCTCCGCGCAACATCGAACCCAAGAACCCACGGCAAGCTCTCACAGGCCCACACAGCAAGGAGTGGCGCGAAGCAATGGATGCGGAAATCCGGGCACTCGAGTCGCGCGACACCTGGGTGCTCGTCGACCGTGCAGCAGTAAAAGGGAGAAGGATTCTCTCCGGCAAATGGGTCTTCCGAGTGAAGACAGGAGCCGACAGAAGGATTGAGCGATTCAAGGCACGCTGGGTGGTACGCGGCTACGATCAAAGGCACGGGATTGATTTTGACCAGACATTTGCACCGGTCAGCCGTCACACGTCCGTCAGAATTCTCCTCGCCATCGCAGCCGCACGACACCTACCACTCCGGCAGATCGATGTGAAGAATGCGTTCCTGTACGCATTAGTGGACGACGTGATCTACGTGGAACAGCCACACACTTACGGCGACGGGGACCCACGCGTCTGTCAGCTACGCAAGTCCCTCTATGGGATCAAACAGGCACCGAGACTCTGGCAGCAGTATCTGCACAACATACTGCTTGAAATCGGGTTCAAGCAGCTGCCTCACGATCCTGGAATGTATCGTCGCGATTTCCGCGGCGAATACATCATCCTCACGGTCTACGTCGACGACCTTCTCTACACAGGCTCAAGCAACGAACTGCTCGAGCAGTTTGAGAGAAGCCTCGCAGGGCGCGGCGACATCACCTGCAATCATGACGTGAAGCAGTTTCTCGGACTCAACATCACCTACTCGCCGGAAGCCATTCATCTCTCAGCAGCGAAGTATGCGGAGGAGCTTAGCAAGCGCTTCAACATTGCGCCTGCACCACTCTCCACCCCTTACCGCACTCCAGGACCCAACCACAAGCCTGACAACAAAGCCCTGTCCCCTGCTGGGCTTCACACTTACCAGCAGCAGTTGGGATGCCTGCTTTTCGCATCTGTTACCTGCAGGCCCGACCTCTCCTACATTGCGAGCCAGTTGGCTCAGTACTCACGCAAACCAACGGCTGAGAATCTCTCAGATCTTCAGCGAGCCCTTCAATTCTTCATCTCTACGCCCAATGTCGGGCTCAGTTATTCCACCATCCCAACCACATCCTTCAGTCTCGTCGGCTACGTGGATGCCGATCACGCCGCTGACCCTGACAATCGACGGTCCAGGACAGGGTTCCTCTTCCGCCTCGAGCCCAGCGGCCCCATCTCCTGGAACTCTCAGAAGCAGGAGTTGGTTGCCCTGTCATCGGCGGAAGCTGAATTTATCGCAGCAACAGCAGCTGTTCGCGAAGGTCTCTACGTTCAGGAACTGCTGCAGGAAGCAAAAATTCCGGCCTCAACGAACTTTCGCCTGCACTGCGACAACCAGAGCGCGATTCGCATCGCGAACAAACCTGGTTTCGTCAACCGCACCAAGCACATTGCGCTGCGGTACTTCTTCGTGAAGGATGAGGTGGACAAGGGCAAGGTCAACTTGACCTACTGCCCGACCGGTGACATGGCAGCAGACTTCCTCACGAAGCGACTGCCACGCCAGCAGTATCAGCACTGCTCCGAACTCAGCGGCGTGGTCAAGCAGGTCAAGTCGAGCTACGGCCAGGAGTGAAGGGGGGTGTTACGAATAATAATACTCGAATATTACTGTGCACTCCTCACCGTAGCAAAGCCGAAGCACGCACTATCGAGAGTGAAGACGAAAAGGCAGAAGAAAGGCGAAGGGACAGACAGTTACGAGGAGCATCTGGACCGTCGGGCAGACAGCATCAGGCAGCAGCAGTGGCGAGGATTCTGCCCGAACAGTTACGTAACCACTCGGAGTCGCACGGTTGGATTTTGCTGCAATAAGGGAATGTACCCCTTAGAGTACATGGCTAGTTAAGTCTTTTCGAATTCCCCTGTACTCATATTTATATTCCTTGTACTGCACGTTCTTTATTATCTCAAAGCATTTTACATTCACTCTGCTATTGAGGTCAAGGGCCCACCAACATCACTTCTCTGCGTACGAACCTTCCTGAGTAGATCCTAGGCCACGATCAACTTTTGATCGCAGCAAAAATCAGACCATTTTGGTCTGAAAAGTTTGGCCCTGGGGCCCTGGCTCAGCAAAGCCGGCCACGTGGACGAAGGGCTTCATGTCCATTTGGTCGAACCCGAGGGCAGCTTTCCGTCCCCCTTAGAAGGTCAGGATGTGTATGGAGGGTGGAAGCACCCTAGGCCCATCAGCTACAGTTACGATTGCCAATTATTGTGCACTTAGTAGTGTATCTTTCACCCAAAAAAAAAAAAAATGCTTCCTGTCGTCAAGAGACTACCGTAACCGTTACTCAGCCCAAGGGGCGTATCAATCTACAGGATGTATATTACTACATGTGGATATTATGTTGGGTTACTCTTTATGAGGTACGGATTTGGTATGGATCACATCTGTGTGCCCTCATTGTGCCCAATCCTTCTTTCGTTGACATACCGTAGGCATCCTTCACATCCCACGGCCAACCTCCTCCGCCTTCGGCCATCTTTTCTGGTCGTTCTAGAATCAAAACGGGCACTGCAGTTGCCTGCCCCACTTGTATGTTTTCCGGCCAGGTTACCCCCATATTAAAACCACAGCATCTCTAGATCATGAGCAAAATATTCATTCGCAGCTGCTGCTCCTGCTACTGAAGCTGCTAGTATGACTCTTGGTTGTTCTTCACCTCACTGCAATGCACCACTTCCACTCCTCTTACCATCCCTTCCACCCTTCTGAACAACCCCCTTGCTTTCCCCCACCATTCCCCCGAACACTCCCACAGCTGCCTCCTCTTCCAGAATCTCCAGAGCATCAGCAGCAGATTTGGCCGCCGCTGCCGCCGCTGCTGCAGCTGCTGATACTGCTGCTACCACTGTTGCTTACTCCTGTACCAGAATCCCCAGAGCATCAGGAGGAGATCCAGCCGCTGCTGCTGGGTGTGGTAGTGTTGGCGTTTGGTGCTGCTGCTGCTGCTGCTGCTGTTGCTTTTGCTTATTCTTTTTCACCATTCTTTCCAGCCCCCTTCCCTCCTCCAACCATTCCCCCAAACACCCCCACAGCTGCTTCCTCCTCTAAAATCTCCAGAGCATCGGCAGGAGATCTGGCCGCTGCTGCTGCTCGCCGGGCTCCCATTGGCCGGTCGCCCTCCTCCTCGCCCACAGAGCACCACGTGGCACGAGCCCATTGGTCCATGTGGTAGGCCACCTGCTCTGGCACCTCATCGTGGGGGCAGTGCCCTGTGGTGGGTGATAGGGGGGAAGGTGAAGATGGGGTGTGGATGGTTAATCCCGTCTCAGCATGTACGTGGCGCCGCAAGCCTGTTAGTCCATGTGGTACGCCACCTGCTCTGGCACCTCATCGTGGGGGCAGTGCCCTGTGGTGGGTGATAGGGGGGAAGGTGAAGATGGGGTGTGGATGGTTAATCCCGTCTCAGCATGTACGTGGCGCCGCAAGCCTGTTAGTCCATGTGGTACGCCACCTGCTCTGGCACCTCATCGTGGGGGCAGTGCCCTGTGGTGGGTGGAAAAGAGGGGGGAAGTGAGGGGGTGGGGTGTGAGTGAATGGAGATGGGTTGTGGATAGGAGACCTATGTGTGTGGTGCGAGCCCATTGGTCCATGTGGTAGGCCACCTGCTCCGAGACCTCATCGTGGGGGCAGTGTCCTGTGGTGGGGAAGGGGAAGAGAGAAGGGTAGGGAAGTGAGGAGGGTAGGGAAAAGAGGGGAAGGGGAGAGGAAAGGCAGGGGGAATGGAGATGGTTGGTGAGTGGGAAACCTGCGTGTGGGGCCACTGCATTGCATTGGTCCATGTGGTTGGTCATCTGTTCCGGTGCCTCATTATCATGGGGGCAGCGCCCTTTGGATTCAGTCAAGCTGATAGGGTGACTACGTTACAGCAAGTTACGGTATCAAGTCCAACTAGCTGACAACGCCAGTTCAACAGACGTAGGTGATTTCAGTGCATTAAACGGACAGGTTGTTGTTAGTGGAACCACAAGAGTACGACTTTTTTTTTTTTTTTTTTTTTTTTTTTTTTTTTTCAAGCAGCACCCACCTGCTTTCAGGAGCTTGAGGGCGACTCCAGGGCAGGTGGCCGTAACAAGGTTCAGGGTCGTCCTCTACTAGACGATCCTAAAAGGTAAAAAAGCGGCACGGACCTGCTTTCAGGAGCTTCAGAGCGACCCCAGGGCAAGTGGCTGTGATGAGGTTGGCTCTGGCAACTGCGTCATTGAGCGGGTCGAGACTACCCTAGGGTCACAATCAGCCTCTTCTAGCCTAGACTACCCTAGAAGGTCAAAGCAGCACCAACCTGCTTTCAAGAGCTTCAGAGCGACCCCAGGGCAAGTGGCTGTGATGAGGTTGGCTCTGGCAACTGCGTCATTGAGCGGGTCGAGACTACCCTGCAGTGGAGGGAGGGTTGGAAGAGGAGGGGATCAGAAAGGAAGTGTTAGTATGAGGCCGTAATAAGGTCGGCTCTTGCCACTGCGTCATGGAGCGGGTCGAGACTACCCTGCAGGGGAGGGAGAGGGAGAGAACGAAGGGAACAGGGGAGGAGGAGGAGAAAAGTTAGTACTACATTATGATGAGGTTGGCTCTCTAGCCACTGCTCTAGCCACACAGTGCAACACCACCCGAGGCAGTAACACAGCCACTAACGAGTGTGAGCATACCTGCAAAACAAGCACCGGCCTGCCATGTTGAAAGAGCAGGCTGTTGAGGGGCTCTGGCTTGGACAGGGCAGGAAGAAACTTGACTCATGTTCGAAGGGCTGCAGTAGTTGCTTAAGCGTACTCTCAACTACTGCAGCCCTTCGAGCATGAGTCAAGGTGACTGTTGAGGGGCTCTGGCTTGGGCAGGGCAGGAAGAATCCAATCTCCACCACCTCCTAAGCTGTCCTAGCTGCTGTCGTGTATGAGAGCACAACACTACCTGAAGCAGTAGCCCAGCCACAGTACCTGAAGCACAAGCACCGGCCCGCCGTATTGGATGAGCAGGCTGTTGAGGGGCTCTGGCTTGGGCAGGGCTGGAAGAACACACTCTCCACCACCTCCTAAGCTGTCCTAGCTGCTGTCGTGTATGAGAGCACAACACTACCTGAAGCAGTAGCCCAGCCACAGTACCTGAAGCACAAGCACCGGCCCGCCGTATTGGATGAGCAGGCTGTTGAGGGGCTCTGGCTTGGGCAGGGCTGGAAGAACACACTCTCCACCACCTCCTAAGCTGTCCTTGCTGCTGTCGAGTACGAGCACAACACTACCTGAAGCAGTAACCCAGCGAGGACCGGCCGGCTGTAGCGGATGAGCAGGCTGTTGAGAGGCTCTGGCTTGGGCAGATACTCTTCAGCAAGCGGTGCAACAATACCTGAATCAGTACCACAGCCATTGTACCTGCAGCACGAGCTCCTGCCCGCCGTATCGGATGAGCAGGCTGTTGAGAGGCTCCGGCTTGGGTAGATAGAATGCACTCTCCTTTCTACCACCTCCACTGCCACACTTTCCGCGGTGCAACACGCAAGCAGTGCAAAACAACCTGCAGCAGCACCGTGATTCACACCCTTCGTTCCTGCAGCACCGTGATTCACACCCTTCGTTCCTGCAGCACCGTGATTCACACCCTTCGTTCCTGCAGCACGAGCACCGGCCCGCCGTATCGGATGAGCAGGCTGTTGAGGGGCTCTGGCTTGGGCAGATAGAATGCACTCTCCACCCTACCGGCAATAAGTGCAACAGTACCTTAATCACTAACACAGCCAATCACACCTGCAGCACGAGCACCGGCCCGCCGTATCGGATGAGCAGGCTGTTGAGGGGCTCCGGCGTGGGCAGATAGAATGCACTCTCCACCACCTCCACTGCCCCTGGGTCCGTGGCTGCTCGCGAGATCTCCCCTAGCAGCCAGTCATCTGCCCGCTCAGGCCTCTGGTGGGGATAATGGGAACAAGAATGTATGGTGACCATGGCGAGGGGGCAGGTAGAAAGCACTCTCCACCACCTCCACTGCCCCCGGGTCAGTGGCTGCTCGGGAGATTTCCCCTAGCAGCCAGTCGTCCGCCCGTTCAGGCCTCTGATGGGAGACAAAGGGACCAGGAAAGGAGAGAAGAAGGCTGGAATGGAATGGAGGGGGGCAGGTAGAATGGGCTCTCCACCACCTCCACCGTCCCCGGGTGACTGGTCCATGGCTGCTTATGAGACGTCTCATAAGTCATGAGACTTCTCAAGAATCTCCACCACCCTCCACCGTTCCCAGGTGACGGGTCCATGGCTGCTCACGAAATCGAAGTGACTTTTGAGTCGACTCAAAAATCACCAGGAAGAATGGGCTCTCCACCACCTCCACCGTTCCTGGATGATGGGTCCATGGCTGCTCACGAAATCTCCCCTAGCAGCCAATCATCTGCCCGCTCAGGCCTCTGGTGGGGTGTAGAGGGGATCAGGAAAAAAGGATCAGGATAAGGATCAGGATGAGGGGAGCAGGATGAGGGGAGCAGGATGAGGGGAGCAGGATGAGGGGAGCAGGATGAGGGGAGCAGGATGAGGGGAGCAGGATGAGGGGAGCAGGATGAGGGGAGCAGGATGAGGGGAGCAGGATGAGGGGAGCAGGATGAGGGGAGCAGGATGAGGGGAGCAGAATGAGGGGAGCAGGATGAGGGGAGCAGGATGAGGGGAGCAGGATGAGGGGAGAAGGATGAGGGGAGCAGGATGAGGGGAGCAGGATGAGGGGAGCAGGATGAGAGGATCAGGATGAGGATCAGGATGAGGGGAGCAGGATGAGGGGAGCAGGATGAGGGGAGCAGGATGAGGGGAGCAGGATGAGGGGAGCAGGATGAGGGGAGCAGGATGATGAGGGGAGCAGGATGAGGGGAGCAGGATGAGGGGAGCAGGATGAGGGGAGCAGGATGAGGGGAGCAGGATGAGGGGAGCAGGATGAGGGTAGCAGGATGAGGGGAGCAGGATGAGGGGAGCAGGATGAGGGGAGCAGGATGAGGGGAGCAGGATGAGGGGAGCAGGATGAGGGGAGCAGGATGAGGGGAGCAGGATGAGGGGAGCAGGATGAGGGGAGCAGGATGAGGGGAGCAGGATGAGGGGAGCAGGATGAGGGGAGCAGGATGAGGGGAGCAGGATAAGGATCAGGATGAGGGGAGCAGGATAAGGCTCAGGATGAGGGGAGCAGGATAATGATCAGGATGAGGGGAGCAGGATAAGGGGAGCACGTGTGTGTAGTCAAGTGTAGGAATGGAGGGGGAGGGTAAAAGGAGCTCTCCACCACCTCCACTAACCTTGGATTGATGGCTGTTCGAAAGATCTCCCGAAATTATTGAGGTGGTTTTTGAGGCGCCTCAAAAACTACCTTGGATTTGGTGGCTGCTCAGGAGATCTCCCCATGCAGCCAGTCATCTGCCGGGGGGATTACGAGGAGGAGAGGATGGAGAGGAGGGGAGAAGAGATGGTATAGGAACTCACCACGGGGTAGCAGCGCTTGAGAATGGGGCCAGTGTTGAAGCGCAGATAGAGGAAGAGAGCACGGGACAGCAGCCATGCCACCGGCTTGGGAGGGCCCTTGGATAAGGGGCCGTCAGGAGGGGGAGACGGGGGCGAGGAGGAGGAGGAGGAATCAGAAGAATCGGAGGAAGAAGAGGTGGTGGGGATGGGGATTTCTGGGTCGATTCGGCCGGCGGAGTTGAATAAGACAAGGGAGGAGACCAGGTCGGGCCACTGGGCAGCAACTGAAGAAACCGTGTAACCTGATTGGTTAAGAGGGGCGCGGAGTATGGGGGAAGAAGGGAAAGAGCTGAATATGACAAGAGGAGGGTATGTGTATCAGGAGGCCACAAAGTCACAATCGCTACTGAGTTGCCGCCCGCTGCCACCCACCTCCAATGGAGTTGCCGCCCAGAACCACTGGCTCGCCGACCACTTCGCGGATAAAATCCGCCACGCAGTCGCGCCACACGTACTGCGTGTACGACCAGAAAGGTTTTTCTGCCCGGCCGAATCCGGGCAGCGTGAGCGCCCAAACTCGGTGCCCAGAGGCGGCTAGCGGCCGCATGACGTCGCGAAAATGCTGCCAGAACGCTCCAAATCCGTGAACAAAGAGGATGGCTGGTCCTTCTGTGCCGACAGAGCCATACTGGAGGTGGAATGTGTTGGGGAGGATGGGACGGGTATTTTTGAGGCGCCTCAAGAATAGGATGGCTGGTCCTTCTGTGCCGACAGAAGCGTACTGGAGTTGGAATGAGGGTGGACAGAGAGGGGTGTGAGAGTGGTTGACAGGGCAGCTTGATTGAAAACAGCCACTAGAGGCCACATGACGTCGCGAAAATGCTGCCAGACTGCTCCAAAGCAGTGAACAACGAAAATGGCTGGTCCCTCTGTGCCTGTTGTGCCGTACTGGGAGGGGAATCCGGGTGGGTGGAGAAAGGTGAGGGAGGGAAGCGGTGGGCAGTGTGAGCACCCAAACGCGGCGCCAGGGTCCAGAGACGGCTAAGGGGCTTTTGAGTCGCCTCAAGAGGTAACGTGAGCGCCCTAACACGGTGCCCGGAGCTCAAAAGCAAAAAAAAAGAAATAGAAGACAAAAAATAATAGGAGCGCTTACCTGAATGAGAGCCCCCCTCCACCTCCAGTGACCAACTGTCGGGTCAAACTCCTCAGATGGAGGGACGGAGAGGAAGGAGCTGCTGCTCTCATCCTCTGACTCTGATGCAGAGGAGGAGGAGGAGACAGAGGAGGTTGATGAGGAGAGGGATGAATAGGAGAAGTCGGAATCTGAGAGCTCGCTGGAAGAGTAGTCAGATGAAGTGGTATAGGAGGTGTCGGAATCAGAAGACGAGGAGGAGGATGAGGAGGAGAAGGGGTTGGGAGGAGGCATGGCTGTGTGTGGTCGAAGAGCCATCTCTGTGTGCCACTGTGGGGAATGGGAGGGGACGGGAGGGGAGGGCATTGAGGGGGGGAGAGGGGAGAGGAGGGGAGGGGAGGAGAGGTGAGACATTTTTGTCAATTCGAATGAGGTATGGGCATGTGGGGTGTGTGCCATTGTGGGAGAAATGGAGAGGAGAGCGGAATGGAATGAAGGGAAGAAGAGAGGTTACAAGAGATGAGAAAGATGAGTAGTTAAGAGGGAGGAGGGGAACTGGAGGGCAGCAGAGAGGGAAGGAAAGTTATATATGAGCCCTGTGATCTTCAACATAGGCATGGCAAAGCACCGTCCATTCAGAAGCTCACACACACAAAATGGCACCGTAAGTCACTGTTACAATGACTTCCTCACCTTCCCCCTTCCCTTCCACAATGTTCTTTGTGAGTGAATGTAGGAGGAGAAAGAAAATTAGGTTCTGTTTGGGAACGGCCTTGGCTGTGGTTCGGCTGCTGCTGGCATTTTCGCAAGAGTGCGAGAGGGGCTTGGGAAAGATGCGTGGCGTGGGGGGGAAGGTGTGTAAGAGGAAGGATGTGGATTTGGACTGGTTGGAGTAGGTGGTGGCATATAACCTGCCTGAGACACTCAAGAGCCATATCATCTTGAGCACCTTGGAGGGCTACACGCTACCATCCACTCCACCCAAATCCAGATCCACGACCGTCCTCTCACACACCTTCCCCCCCACATCACACGTCTTTCTCAAGCTCCTCTCTCACTCTTTCGAAAAGGGCGGCAGCATCCAAAACAAAAGCAAACAGCAATTCAACAAGTTGCACAACAAATTGCAACGTTGAGCGGCACCATGCACGTAACGATGAGAGAGCAACCTCGTAACGGCAACTTCTCAAATGTCACACACACACACACACACACACACACACACACCACTCTAGCCTCCACAGTGTCAATTGCAGCCGCTGCAGTCGAACCTCTGCCTCCCGGACCGCGTGCACGTAATGATGAGGGAGCAGCCTCGTAAAGGCAACTTCTCAAATGCCACACACAATCACGCACCTCTCTAGCTTCCACAGTGTCGATAGCAACTGCTGCAGTCGAGCCCCTGCCACCCAGACCGCGGGCAGCAGTATGCACATAGCGATGTGAGAGCAGCCTCATTAAGGCACTGAATCACAATGTCACACAACACACACATGCACACACACAAACGAACCTCTCTAGCTTCCACAGTGTCGATAGCAGCCGCTGCAGTCGAGCCCCTGCCACCACCACTGCTACGGCGGGCGGCATCATGCACGTAACGATGGGAGAGCAGCCCAAGGGAGAGAACAGGAGCAAAGAGCGCGTGGAAGGACGCCCGGGGAACCACCTCTAGCTCTGCAATTGTCTCGCTCAGTGGCTTACTCGCGGTTACAGGGTTACCACCTGCAAGTCCGGCTTCTCCCGCTCCGCTCCTTCCCCCTTTCAAATCTGCCTGGAGGTACTGAGATAGGAGAGAGAGAGCTGAAGCTTCCCCGTCTACTTGTGGAAGTTGTGAGGGTGATTCTTGAGTGTTTGTTCCGTCCATTTCTTTTCCTGACAGCGATAAGAGCTCCTCCAATGAAGGCAAGGCTCCTGTGACGCGTGAGAGGAAAGAACAGAAAGAGAAGAAGAACTGAGAGCAGGGAAACTGAGGAGGAGAGGGATGAAAGGGCTGTATGGCTGTAATAAAATGTTCACAGAAACAACATGATAGTTGCTGAATTGATAAACACTAAACAGTAGAACCTCAGACAAAATCAGTGAACGGCTTTTAAAAAACTGAAAATCCGAGAATCTGAGAATTCTCAAAGACACCCTCCACTCTACATGAAGTGGCCAAGGCGATGAAGGGTCAGGTAGGGAGTGGGTGGAGTGAAGGGAGAGAAGAAGAAAGATTAGTGCCACCCACCACCACAGCCAATGCGAGCAGGGAGAGGGAGAGGCCTATATAATTAATTTTAGAAAATAATCACGAGAAGGAAAGCACCCACCAGAGTCGATGCCAGCAGGCAGGGGGGGAAGCGCAGAGGGGGGAGGCAGAGGCGGGCAGGGCTGCCCTCTCTGCTGCTTGAAGGTGGTGAACTCAAGTGCGAGGGGATCCTGGTGGTGGGATGGGTGGAGAAAAGGACATAAGTAATGGTGGAGAAGCAAGGTACAAGCTGCACTAGTGCTCTTGAGGTTGCCCGGACCTTCGAGTTGACGAATATTTAACCCTGAGGGACTCAACCACTCATGCCACTCAGCTCAACCATACCTGGCAGTCGTGCAATGCAGCTCGCCATGTCTCCACAGAGACTCTCTTCTCCTCCTTCGCTTTCCCTTCCTGCTGCCCTTGTGCTATCAAGGCTGACCGGACCTGCTCCAGTGGAAGCTTCCAGCAGGTTTCCACCTCCTCCTCTGCCACTACAGTACGGACAGATGGAACCTGCAATCGTGCCAAGGAGGGGGATCGTTGTCAGAGGAAGACGGGGGGGGTGGGAGGGGAGGAAAGAGGGGAAGGGGGAAAGGTTGGGAAGGAGGGAGGGTGGGTGGAAAGGGTGGGTGTTGTGCATGGCAGGGAGGCGGGGGGAGGAGGAGGGAGGATTGTATTGAGGGGTGAAAGGTAAAATTGGAAAGATTCCCCGCGTACCTGTTGACACAGCTTTGCGATTGCAGTGGAGGAGTCCCCTCGAGCAATGATGAGGTCGGAACCGAGGGAGAGGAGAGAGGAGCGCAGGGAGGAGACGGACGAGAGGAGCAGCGGTAGCTGGCTCGTAGGGAGGTCTGGTGGGAAAAGGTGGTACAGACGAACAAAGAGAGAAGGCCTGTGAGTCGAATCAAGGTAGGAGCGCAGGGAGGAGATGGATGAGAGGAGCAGCGGTAGCTGGCTTGCAGGGAGGGCTGGGAACAAGTTACGTGGGTGGGAGAGAACGAAGAAAATAAGAGGTGGGGATGTGTGGGAGGAAGAGGCGAGAAGTCGCCGAGCAATAGGGGAGAAACGGCTGGGGCGAGTATGTGGGGAGAAAATGGGGTGATATGCAAAGATGATTGGAGTAAGATGGGTAAGATGGGAGGTGGGAGAGAGCAGAGCAGACGCAAAAGCTGCTTGCTGACCTGACAGGAAATTTGGATCAAGGACAAAGAGCGGAATCGCATGGCTTGTAGCTGCTGATGCCAACAGTGCTGATTCGGTTGTTGAAGCGGCAGAGAGGGCATGCAGGGCGGGATGGTCGTTCACCCTCAGGTCATGCTTGAACCACACGATCGTCGTGGAGGCTGGTGGGATAAGGAGGGGGAAGAGGAGGGGAACGGCACTCTAAGTAATGAATCAGAGAGAGCGTGCAGGGAGGGATGGTCGTTGACCCGCAGGTCATGCTTGAACCACACGATCGTTGTGGAGGCTGGTGGGGTTGGGACAGGGGAGGGAGGAGGGAAGAGGTGGAAGGGGGAGGGTGAGAATGGCAGTGTATGTGTCGAAGCAGCGAGTGGGTGGCTGGGATGGTCGTTGACCCTCAGGTCGTGCTTGAACCACACGACTGTCGTGGAGGCTGGTGGGGTGGGTGGAGGCGGGGCGAGGATAGGAATGGCAGTCTATATATCCTCAGGTCATGCCTGAACCACACGACTGTCGTGAAGGCTGGTGAGGTTGGAGTGGGGGAAGGATGGGAATGGCCTGAGGTCTCACGCCTGAATGTCAAGTCTGGAACCTGAATGTCACGTCTCACACCTGAATGTCTCTCACGCCTAAATGTCAAGTTTCACGCCTGATTGTCAAATCTCAGGCGCGAATGTCACGTCTCGAGCCTGAATGGCAAGTCTTAGCGCGTGAATGTCATGGATGTCGAGAATCATGTCAGAGTTCACTTCTAACCGACGACCCTCACCATCTGAGACTGCGCTGATCGACGCCATGGCAGTTCGGCTCCTGCTCCCACGCACACTCCCGCTTCTCTCGCTGCGCTTTCTCGCTCCACATGATGTCAGCAAACTCAAATTTCAAGTCGAGATTCACATCTGATATAGGATGATCGACGATCCTCACCTTCTGAATCCGCGCTGATCGACGCCATGACAGTTCGGCTCCTGCTCCCACGCACACTCCTGCTTCTCTCGCTGCGCTCGCTTGTTCGGCATAAATTAAGCGGGTTCGGATCGCCACCCGGCTGCACGGATGGTCCTTTAAGAAAATCCCTCGAAGCTCGCGAAATATGGCATCCTCTCTTGGTAAGCCGACCATCGCGGAGGTACTGGCGGTTCCTGGGCGAAGAGAGGAGAACGCGAGCGTTGCTGTGAGTGGACGACGATATCGGTGTGCCGCTTAACGCGGACGCAACGCGGTTAACTCCCGTGCTGGCTTGAAGGGAGGAAATCGTCGCCGACATTCCCGCCAGATGAGCGACAGAAACGTCGCAAAGGCTGGAGGAAGTAGTAGTACGCGTCCTCAACTCACGGACGCAGAGAGCCTGTGGCAAGGAAAGAAGCGCCTGTCCCTAGGCCAGCTGAAATAAGAGCGAGCCTGGAGGCGCGAGCGAGCTGCGGCGGACGTCAGTAACTTGTGTGAAGCAGACCAGAAATATCTGTCACATGTGTCCAATTCGAGTTGCTCCATGCGTTCTCGGGCACATTCTCGTCTCCCTCGAAATCTCCACGAATTTCGTTTCCTGCTCTGATAGGCCGAAGAATTCTGGCAACGTGGCAAATTTCGAGACTTGGAGGAGCCTCGAAAATGCCAATGTCATACGGTAGGTTCGCCGGGGCGGTTGAGAAAGCTCAACCGCTAACCGCCAATTGCAGCTTGCACTAATGGGGATGGAGTTCCCCGTGCAAATGCAGCCGCGCAGGAAAGAGGGGGTGGTGGTTGGCGAAAGTTCTGGGCGAACTGTTTCGCCAAGAAGGTAACCTTGCTGAGTTTGATGGTGATTCCCGTTGCCGTGACAACGAGGTCGCAAACGCTCCAAAACCGGAAGTCCCGAAAGCGACGGCTGGAAAGTGGGGTGGTGACACCTTGCATTGCGAAATCACCCACGAACAAGTCGGGGGTTTGCGAAGCGTTTTTGTAGGTGACCGAAAGAACCGTTGCACATCGCGGATGCGCCATGCGGCAACGGGCGGCAGGGGCCCTCGGAGTTTCACTCTTTTCATTCTCAAATATCTGGTTCACTCAGTTCAAGTCCTGCCAATCCAGTAGTAGGCTTTTGGAAACGCGTCGACAAATAATCAAGTGCTCGTGCGCTAACCTGACACCATGAGACGCCCTCTGCGTTCTTCATAGATTAAGACTCCCAAGTCGCGAGAAGACGCGGGACTCGCCGAACCATTTTGGTTATTGTTTTCGCATCAGGTGGTTTTGGTTATAACAGACGAAACTCGCGAGTCGCCAGCTCCATGGCTTCACGCACCAGCAACAGCGACGTTAGAATAGCAAAGAAAGCCCCCGTGAGGCACGCAGTCGACGAAGCTAGCCATAGTGAAACCTCGAAGCCGTTGAGGGAGAAGTGCTGGCGGGTGAAACACGACGTGCTCTTCTCGGAATGGAAGGTAACTCCATAAAACACCTTGTTATGCAAAGAAATATGGTTAAATATATACAAGTTTTCGTACATGTATAACCATTTTGATTACCTTCGCACGACGTCCACTCCCCATTTTCGTTTTTATGCTAGTCTTGAAAGTTGTGTGACACCCAGTGTGTGCTCTTTCTCTCACATAGAAGGCTCACTTGATCATTGTCGCTTGTTCCCGCCTTTCCATCGCCCCCCTTCCCTCTCCCTGTTGCTTTCCTCCCCTCTTCGCGCCAGCTTCTAATCGCCGCTGACGATTGGTCCAACCATTCCCAAGGCGTCTTTTGAGGCGCCTCAAAACTTGTTCCCCCCTCCTCTCACCCCTTCCCTCTCCCTGTTGCTTTCCTCCCCTCTTCGCGCCAGCTTCTAATCGCCGCTGACGACTGGTCCACCCATGCCCAAGGCGTCCCCGGAACCACACGGTACCGCATTGCAAACCTTCCAAGCCAAACCGGTCCGGGCGTGTACGAGCTCGGGATCCTGCCGAACCGGGTAGTTCGGCGGCAGCGGCGGCTGCAGGGGTTGCCGGTGCGGGTGGTGTATGTGGGGCATTCGGAGAGTGTGAGGGGCAGGATGCAACAGTACGGGCAGTCAGGGTCGCACCTAAAAGAGCTCTTTGAAGGGGTGTTTGCGGAGGACTATGCTCTCACCTTTCGTTGGACCTCTGTAAGCCGTGGGTAGCAGCAGAGAGGGCGTTTGTCTGTTGTTGGGGCGGTAATTAGAGTGTGAGGAGCAGGATGCAGCAGTACGGCCAGTCAGGGTCGCACCTAAAAGAGCTCTTCGAAGGGGTGTTCGCGGAGGACTATGCTCTCACCTTCCGATGGACTCCTGTAAGCCGGGCTCCCTGGGATAGGAAGGATCACAGAGTGCATTTCCTGCTGGGGTTTTTGCTATCACAGTGTCTCCCGTCGGGGGGGTTGTTGTCTGTGGTGCTGGTTCTCTGGATATTGGAAGCTGGTCCGGTGCGGGTGGTGTATGTGGGGCATTCGGAGAGTGTGAGGAGCAGGATGCAGCAGTACGGGCAGTCAGGGTCGCACCTGAAGGAGCTCTTCGAAGGGGTGTTCGCACAGGACTATGCTCTCACCTTCCGATGGATCTCTGTAAGCCATTTGATAGCAGCAGAGAGGGTATTTGTCTGTTGTTGGGGGGGGGGGGGGCGGGGGTATTGTTATGTCGCACCTGAAGGAGCTCTTTGAAGGGGTGTTTGCGGAGGAATATGCACTAACTTTCCGCTGGACCTCTGTAAGCCGTGTTTAGGAACACAGAGGGCATTAGAGCGTTAGGGGCAGGATGCAGCAGTACGGGCAGTCAGGGTCGCACCTGAGGGAGCTCTTTGAAGGGGTGTTCGCACAGGACTATTCTCTCACCTTCCGATGGACTCCTGTAAGCCATTTGGTAGCAGCAGAGAGGGTATTTGTCTGTTGTTGGGGGGGGGGGGGGGTATTGTTGTGTTGCACCTAAAGGAGCTCTTCGAAGGGGTCTTGGCGGAGGACTATTCCCTCACCTTTCGTTGGACCCCTGTGAGCCATTTGGTAGCAGCAGAGAGGGTATCTGTCTGTTGGGGGGGGGGTATTGTTGTGTCGCACCTGAGGGAGCTCTTCGAAGGGGTGTTTGTGCAGGACTATGCTTTAACCTTCCGATGGACCTCTGTAAGTCGTGTTTAGGAACACAGAAGGCATTTGTCTGTAGTTGGGGGACATTCGGAGAGTGTGAGGAGTAGGATGCAGCAGGACTACTCTCTCACCATCCGTTGGACTCCTGTAAGCTGTGGGTAGGAGAACATAAGGAATGTGCTGCTGGGGTGTTTGCTACCAACGGGTTTCACTCTTGCCTCTTTTGAGTCGACTCAAAAGTCAGCTGAGTCGACTTAAAAGTCAGCTGAGTCGACTCAAAAGTCAGCTGAGTCGACTCAAAAGTCAACATAAGGAATTTGCTGCTGGGGTGTTTGCTACCAACGGGTTTCACTCTTGCCTCTTATCGCCCATCCCCATCCCCTCACTCCATCAACATCCCTCCCCCTCCCCTCTCCTCTTTCACAGGCGGCCTTAAAGGCAGAAGCAGCAGCAACAGAAACCCTGCTGCTCTCTTCCTTTGACTACATCCGGAACGTCTGCAACAACCACCGCCGCCGCCACGACCGCCTCTTGACCAAGCTGCAAGTCGGCCCGTCCTTCTCCTGCCATCTTCCTCATCCCTGTCCCCATCCCCAACCCCATCCCCATCCCCATCCCCATTGCCATCCCCATCCCCATCCGCACCTACCCCCCCACCCGTGTTCCCCAGGCTGTGACAAAAGCAGAAGCGGCAGCCACCGAGACCCTCCTCCTCTCTTCCTTCGACTATGTCTGGAACGTCTCCAACAACCACCACCGCCGCCACGACCGCCTCTTGACCAAGCTGCAAGTCGGCCCATCCTTCTCCCTCCTTCCTCAACATCATCCCCATCCCCATCCCCATCCCCATCCCCATCCCCATCCCCATCCCCATTGCCATCCCCATCCCCATCCGCACCTACCCCCCCACCCGTGTTCCCCAGGCTGTGACAAAAGCAGAAGCGGCAGCCACCGAGACCCTCCTCCTCTCTTCCTTCGACTACGTTTGGAACGTCAGCAACAACCACCACCGCCGCCACGACCGCCTCCTAACCAAGCTGCAAGTCGGCCCATCCTTCTCCCGCCGTGTAGCCGTTGCCTTCCCCTTCCTCCCTGTCGCTCGACTCGTCACTCCTGTAGCTGTTGGGCCTGCAATCCCTCTCGCCGCGGCTGCGGCTGCTCCCCTTCCTCCTGATTCACCTACTGCCCCCCGTGCTGCTTCTCCTGCTGCCGCATCACGTCCTGACATTCCCTCTGCCATCGACCATGCTAATTATTCTGCTGCTAAGCCCCAGGACAAACAACGACAGGGTAGATCACCAGGCACGCCACCAGGTAGACCAACAGACAAAACTCCTGACAGATCACCTGGCAGAACACCTGAGAAAAGACAAGGGGATTGTGGAATCAAGGTTTGTGGGGCTCCACTCTCTCATGGGGGAGTATGTATGCAGGCAGCAGTAGAAGGACGAGTGCGGTGTGCCGAGCACAAGGGTGTGCGAACCGTGTGTGACGATCCAAGGGTTGAAACAGTTCGAGTCGAAACAGTCAGGTTCTGCGGGGCTCCGCTCTTTGATGGGGGAGTTTGTATACAGGCAGTAGTGGAAGGGCGAGTGCGGTGTGCCGAGCACAAGGGCATGCGGGTCAAGGCTAGTCTTGAAGTTTCTGAAGCGCCTAAACAGCAGGTGCCTCAAAAGCCATCCTCCCCTCTCTCAAAGAGCGCCTTAGGTGTTGCTGCAGCTTGTGGGGTGCCGCTTTTTGGTGGCGGAACTTGCCAGGAAGCTGCTGTGAAGGGTAGAGTGAGGTGTGCTGCGCATAAGGGTATCCGTGTCAAAGGGAGAGGTGGATTGTGACTATAGGGAAAGGACATGCCGTGTCATACTATCCTATGTGAATATAGTGAAAATGCATCCGTGATGTGACTATCTACAATGGTCTATGTGGTTGAGTGGGGGTATGCATGCCAGAGGGGAGGCGTTCTGTTACTGCTGAAGGGGCATGTACTGCAATGCTATGCAATGCAATGTTCTTTTGTGCAATGTGAAAGGGTGACACATTTTAAGGTGAACAAGTTTCTGCAACCGTTGCTTCAATGCATTCCACATTCGAATGTTACGGAGTAGCTTGCCATTGCCATTACCATGTGATGTGAGCAGCAAGCCATCAGAGGCAAAATACTGCTTGGCCTGCTGATTTCCAATCGCCACCTCATGAAGCCAAGCCACTCCATGACATGATTTTTTCACGTGGCTACCCCTTGAAGGCAAGGTGCAGAATGGGCTGCTATGGTAGTCTTACGTAACTACCTCATGCAGGCAATGTGCTACGTCTTAAAGTCAAGGTACCGCATGGGCTGCTTCAGCCCTGGAGGCACCACTGATGGCTGCCTCAGCTGCCCCCTCTGCTTCTAATTTCAAGTGGGTAACTCTTAAAGCCCAGGTATTTCATGGGTTATTTTAGCTCTGGAGGCACCACTGATGGCTGCTGCAGCTGCTTTGCTTCTAATTTCAAGTGGTTACATCTTGAAGCAAATGTGCTATCTCTTAAAGCCCAGGTACCGCATGGGCTGCTTCAGCCCTGGAGGCACCACTGATGGCTGCCGCAACTGCCTCCTCTGCTTCTTGGTCTGCAGTAGTGAACGATTTAAAGAGTGGGTTGAGAGGCAAACGACAGCGGAAAAGAGGGGGGAAGGGGTGAAAATGGGAAAGGAAAGATACGCGGGGGGAATTGAAAATCCATCACGACGTAGAACAGGAAAATAAAAAAGGAAAAAAAAGGTAATGATTTAAAGCATACCTTGGTGCTCGCGTTATGCCTCTTGCCTGCCCGCCACCGCTTGTACTCGCCATTCGCTAGCAGCTTGAACCGGCGCTTGAGTGACCTTCATAGAACCAGTCAGAGGGGAGAGACGGGAAGTGCAAAACAAGGATAAACGTGCGTGTATTGAGTGTGCTTCACAAAACATCTTGCCAACCCGCCAACGCTTGTACTCGCCATTCGCTAGCAGCTTGAACCGGCGCTTGAGTGAGCTTCTAAGAACAGGAAGGGAGAGAGGGGAAGCGGGAAATAAGGATAATTGTGCGTGTATTGAAAGCACGCACAAAACCACATCAAGCTTGCCCGCCACCGCTTGTACTCATCATTGGCTAACAGCTTGAACCGGCGCTTGAGCGAGCTGGACACAACGGGATGGGAGAGGAGAGGAACGGGAGACAGAAGTATAAGTGTGCGTGCATTCAGCGCGCATCGAACCACATCTTGCCAGTTCGCCGCTGCTTGTACTCGCCATTCGCTCTCAGCTTGAACCGGCGCTTGAGTGACCTTCAAAGCGCACAATGGGAGAGGGAGGAACGGCAAAAGAAGGAAGGGTGCAAGTGTGCTGACGGGGATAGGTTTCCGTTTATTGCATGTCCATTAAAGAGGGCATTTTAAAGAACTTCATGGGAAAGCGGAAGGTACGAGAAGAAGGGGAGAGTGAGATAATGAACGTGGGGGCGGATGGGAGGAGGGAGTGAGAAATAGGCACATTGGACAAATTCGAGATGAACAAGGCTGGACTCACATTGGTTGTGAGTCGTGACAATAATGAAGGGTGACAAAACAGGTGACACACACGGGATGTGATAGAGAAACAGGATGTGACAGAAGCTGACGTGACTCACGAGTAGGGTTTGACTTTGATCTTGCTGCCGAACAATCGTCGGGCAGAGAGTACAGACGAAAGGAAAGATGAAAGGGCAGATGAAGGAATGGGAGTGCTGGTGATAGCGCTGGAGGTTAGAGACGGCTTTAAACTGCGGCTGATAGTGGCACCGTCCGCTTGTCTTGAGAGGCTACTAACTGAAAAGTTACTGAAGGAGCAGCTAGCTGATGGGGTAATTAGTCGCGATGTAACTGGTCCCGTGATTAGGGGTCTGACGGACAGAGGAAGGGGAGGAAATGACGGAGATCTAGCTGTTGTATACGCGGGAGAAAGTGGGGAAGAATGGGCGGAGCGATGGGCGGAACGATAGGCGGAGGAAGCGTTGGCGGAAAGGTTGGACGGCGAGACGATCGCAGTTCGGGGTGGCGGCGGCCGCGGAAGCCGGGTAAGTTGCCGCGATGCGTGGCTGAAAGCGGCTCGACAAACATGCCGAACGGATCGTGAGGACGACATCTGATTGGAGAGGGATAAATTCGCCTCGACTTCTAGAAAAGGGAGAAAATAGGATCGGTAAGAAGGTTCTGGTCACGGAGCGCGCGGCGGGAAGAGGGGCGTGGCGGAAGGAAGTTGGCGCAAGGAGGGAAGCGCGCGTGCGGGATGCGCGGGAAGGCGGGATGCGCCGAACGAGATCGTGCTGGTGAGCGGAAGATTGAGCCAGGAATGGGGCGATGGGGCGGGCGAAGGGTTGGTGGTCCGAATTCGCGATGCGGAGAATGGCGGACTGGCGATGCGGAGAATGGCGGACTGCCGATGAACGGCTAGGTTGAGGCGGAAATGGTGGCGGCATGGATGGTGGTGGTGTGAATACGAGAAACGGGACGTCCGCGTTAATAGTTGTGAATCACTATTACCATTGTTACAGTTGTCACAAATGTCTAAAACACTGATACCACATTTCGAAACATTTTAATCTTCTTCATTGTCATCACATGCGATTGGTTACAGGTCATCGTCCTCGTCTTCCATATCCTCCTCCATTTCCTCCTCAATCAAATCCTCCTCATCTTCCTCTATCCCTTCTCCATCATCGTCCAATGTCATCTTCCCAGTTCGTCTAACCAATGCATCACTCTCTCCCGCAGAGTCCGCACGGAACCGGGCCATCTCCGCACTTTGTCTCTCCGCCTCTTTTTTCTCCTTCTCCGCTCTCATCTTCTCCAAGTCAACCCTGCATGCCAAGCAGTTTGAGAAGAAAAAAACGAGTTTTGAGACGTCTCAAGAGTCGGCATCAAACAGGGCCACCTCCTCACCCTTCCTCTCCGCCTCTTTTCTCTCCTTCTCTGCTCTCATCTTCTCCAAGTCAACCCTGCATGTCAAGCAGTTTAAGGGTACCAAAACAATCAAGCAGATTCAAAGAGAATGAGAAATGCACGCAGCAGTGCCGAAAGATGCGACATGAAAAGCACTTCTGAGGCCGCACAATTGAAAATCGATGGAAAGTACTGCAGACACCCCCACTACGTCAATATTAAAGCAAATTTCATCCGGAACAGGCACTTTTTGAGTCAGCTTTTGAGGCTCCAAAAGCTAAAGCTGTTCTCACCTGTAGCCTTCCATGTGCTCTTTTCTGGATGCCTCGACAGCAGTGAAAAACTCTCAATTCCCCCTCCCGTGACAGCCGGCACTCTCCCACGGCATGCAAGTTGGAGTAGAACTCACAGCCTATAGCCTGCAGCCCATAGATTGTGGCCTGTACCTTCTTTCGCTGCCAGGAATTTCCTCACCTGTAGCCTTCCATGTACTCTTTTCTGGCCGCCTCGACAGCGGAAAAAAACTCGTTAATCCCCCCTCCTGTGACAGCCGAGACTCCCACAGCATGCAGGTTGGAATAGACATTACAACGACCTGTAGCCTCACCTGAAGCCGTCCATGGAGCGCTTTTCTGGCCACCTCGACAGCGGTGAAAGACTCATTAATTCCCCCTCCCGTCACATCCGATACACTCACGGCATGCAGGTTGGAAAAGACCTTAGAACAGCCTGTAGCCTCACCTGTAGCCTTCCATGTACTCTTTTCTGGCTGCCTCGACAGCAGTGAAAAACTCGTTTATTCCCCCTCCTGTGACAGCTGAGACTCCCACAGCGTGCAGGTTGGAGTAAAACTCATCGAGAGCGAGGCAGAGGGAGCGGGAGAGCGAGGCGGCGTAGGAAGGGTCTCGATCCACTGCTGCTTGAAACGCCTCAAAGTCCCGCATCCACTGGTGCGGGGGAGTGGGGGGGTGGGGGGAATTGGCGGAGGGGGGGAGGGGAGGGGGGGTAGGGAAAGCAGGTGAGGATTCTGGTGACAGCAGATACGCCCACGGCGTGCAGGATGGAGTAAAACTCGTCCAGAGCAAGGCAGAGGGAGCGGGAGAGCAAGGCTGCGTAGGAAGGGTCGCGATCCACCGCTGCTTGAAACGCCTCAAAGTCCCGCATCCACTGTTGCCAAGGGCAAGAGGGGTGCGGAAGAGGGAGGGGGCCGATGGGAAGTGAGGGAAGAAGCGGCAGACGGAGCGGGTGGGAGAGCGAGGCGGCGTAGGAAGGGTCTTGATCCACTGCTGCTTGGAAGGCTTCGAAGTCCTGCATCCACTGGTTGGAGAAGGGGGAGGGGAGGGATGGAGAAGAGGCAGAGGAAAGAGGCAGAGGGAGCGAGAGGGGGAGGCGGCGTAGGAAGGGTCTTGATTCATGGCTGCTTGGAATGCTTCGGTGTCCCGCATCCACTGGTGGGAAAGAGAAGAGTGGAGGCGTGAAGAAGAAGCACTGTATGATTCTTTAGGCGCCCAAGAAACTCCCATATGTCATGCATCCAGTGATGAGGGGGAATGGGGGTTGAATGAAGCAGGGGAGAGAGATCCAACCAAACACTCGTCTAATAATGCTTGAAACACATCAAAGTCACTGGTTTTTGTGAATACAAATGAGAATTCAACAACATACTCAAATTCTCAAAAACCAGCTTGAAACACCTCAAAGTCACTGCTTAAACCCGTTGACTTTTGAGACGTCTCAAAAAACACCTCAAAGTCACTGCTTAAACCCGGAGAACTGCAAACCTAAACCCATTAGCCCCTAACCTCTTGATAACAAAGTCACTGCATAAACCCCAAACCACTTGATACCAAGCCCCTTAACCCAGAACATTATCATACCTCAACTGCAAAGTCGTGCCGCGCCACGTCGGTCCTGTTAACCGCCAGCAGCAGCGTAACCGCGTCTTGTTACAAAATCCCATTCCACACAAACTTATAATACCCCAAATACCTTAAACCCGAGCATACCTCAACTGCAAAGTCGTGCCGTGCGACGTCAGTCTTGTTAAACGCCAGCAGCAGCGGTAACCGCGTCTTGTACAGAATCCCACACGCGTACAGCATGCTGCTTATAAAGGTGCCGGGATTTGCCGCCCGGGGTGTATCCACTACAAAACAAACGGCCGTGGGAAACGTGGAGGCGAAGGCTTCGGTAATGATTGCTCCGGAAGCTGACCAGGTGAAAATTTCGATCTGCCCGGGCGTGTCGATGAAAACGTAGTCGAGCGTGTCGGCTCGGCGCTCCACGAGTGTGATAACCTGAGAGGTGTGTGTGACACAGTCACAAACAGGAATGCAAAACGGTAGAGAGGAATAAGGTTCAGCAACACGTAGAATAGACTCAGTTAAATGGCCTGGGTGTGTCGATGAACATGTAGTCAAGCGAGTCGGCTCGGCGCTCCACGACAAGTGTGATAACCTGAGAGGTGTGACAGTAACGAAATGGAAAGGGGGGAGAGACAGGAACGATAAGCGACAGAGAGAAGCTCAGCGTTGTGGGATTAATTACAGCAGGTGTGTGACAAAAACGAAGCGAGAGTGATTGAAAGCGGAAGGGCAGCGGAGGACCAGAGGCAGACACAGAGAACAGAAGGTCGGCAGCATCTGTGATTCCAACAGAAACTCTCCAACATAGCTTCTGTGAGGAGAGTTTTGAGTTCTGAGAGGATTTTTTTTAGTTTTGAGAGGAGAGCTTTGAGTCGACTCAAAACACGCACCTCGTCAATCTTGGTCGTGAAGAGATTCAATGAGGTGAGAATCGCGCCGTTGGGTCCGAGCCCATACTCCTTCATCACGTTCTTGTAGTTCACCGTGTCCCGAATGTCAATGTTGGCGAGGTAGGGCACGGAGGGCACAGCCGGGTCTAGGTTGATGAGGTAGTGGGCGATTTTGCTGCCGTGCATGTGTGCGTATAGCCGCTGCATCAAGGTGGTTTTGCCACTGCCTGTTGCGGGTTGGGGGCAACGGAGGGCAGATGGGGGAACTGAGGGCATGGAGGGCACAGCAGGGTGGAGGTTGATGAGGTAGTGGGCTATCTTGCTGCCGTGCATGTGCGCGTACAGCCGATGGATGAGAGTCGTTTTGCCACTGCCTGATGGGATTCGAGAGGGGGGCATAGGAGGGCAGAGGAGGGCAGAGGAGGGAAGAGGGGGGCACGGAGGGCACAGCCGGGTCCAGGTTGATGAGGTAGTGGGCGATTTTGCTGCCGTGCATGTGTGCGTTTAGTCGCTGTATGAGAGTCGTTTTCCCGCTGCCTGTTTGGGGAAAAGAGCACGGAGGGCACAGCAGGGAGGAGGTTGATGAGGTAGTGAGCGGTGCTGCTGCCGCGCACGTGTGCGTACAGCCGCTGCATAAGAGTCGTTTTCCCACTGCCTGATGATCAGGGGCACGCAGAGCTGAGAGCACAGAGGGCAGAGGAGGGCACAGCAGGGTGGAGGTTGAAGAGGTAGTGAGCGGTGCTGCTGCCGCGCACGTGTGCGTTTAGGCGCTGAGTGATTGCTGCTGCCGTGCATGTGCGCGTATAGGCACTGCATCAGGGCTTGCCACTGCCTGACGCACGTTTAGGGTTTGAAAGGGGGGAGAGGGGGGAGAGAGGGGGAGGGTGGGGAGGTGGTGGAGTGCTGAGTCGTCTTATAACGGGTACGACGCTCCACAGCTGTAGTCTTGGCGCTCTCTGTTTTTGTTTGGGGTTTGTTAGAGGGGTGTTTGTTGGGGGTTGAGGGGAGAAGGGAGAGGGGAGAGGGGAGAGAGACGGCAGAGAACAGGAAAGAAGAAAGAGAACAGGAAAGAAGGAATAGAACAGGAAAGAAGGAAGAGAACAGGAAAGAAGGAAGAGAACAAAAAAAAGCGGACGGCCGGGGATAGGTGAATTATTTGCGATGAAAAAATGCACAAACGATTATGCTGGAATCCTGCCAGCAGAAGGACATCACCAGGGGTTCAAGATTCCTGGGTTCGGTTACAGCCAGGCAGTACCAGCCAGGCAGTACCTGCCAGGCAGTACCTGCCCACCACGGCATCACCAGGGGTTCAAGATTCCTGGGTTCAAGATTCCTGGGTTCAAGATTCCTGGGTTCAAGATTCCTGGGTTCAAGATTCCTGGGTTCAAGATTCCTGGGTTCGAGATTCCTGGGTTCAAGATTCCTGGGTTCGGTTACAGCCAGGCAGTATCTGCCATGCCCACCACGGCATCACCAGGGGTTCGGGATCGGGTACACCCAGTGAGCGATTTTCGAGAATTCTTAAAAAACGCTCACAAGAATTCTCAAGTATCGCTCACGAACGATTATGCTGGAGTCCTGAAAGCACAAGGACATCACCAGGGGGTGGGGTTTAGTAAGACAGTACCTGCCATGCCCACCACGATTTTTGAGAAGGACGATTTTTGTCCCTCCTGACCGTCTCAAAATTCATGAAAGCACAAGGACGTCACCAGGGGGTGGGGTTTAGTAAGACACCGGTGGGGTTTACCTGCCATGCCCACTACAATCACAACCACCGGCTTCTTCCGCCCGCCCCCCTCCCCCTTCTGCTCCGCCTGCCCCTCGGAATTCCCGCTCCCTTCCCCCTGCTGCTCTGCCGGCGGATTCCCTTCAGCCTGCGCTTCCGCCTGGCGCGACGGCGCACTCCCTTCCCCCTGCGCTTCCGCCGACCCTGCGCGCGCGCTCCCTTCCCCCTGCTGCGACCCGCTTTCCCCAGACCCCCCTTCCCCGAATTCACCTCCCCCGGTCCTAGTTTCCCCAGTTCCACCCGGTAGATCGTTTCTACCTGCGGACGACATGACAGTGCGGCGTTTTGCAGGCTGGTCTGCGAAACAGTTCTAAGAGGTTCCGGGTGTAGGATCTACCTAAAACGAGTCAATGAGTCTACAAGTAAATGAGTCTACGAGTCTGCGAGCTTACAAGTCAACGAACGAGTTGATTCTCCGAATTAAAATTGGGCGCCTGAGGGGGGAACAGACTAAGGGCACTGAATGAATAACCGCTGACGACTATGCACTAAAAGTCGTAGGCTGGTACTATCTAGCACGAAAGTAATCGGGAAACGTTAGAACGAGTTAGCCTACTTGAAAGCTACAGGTGCATTGTGGTGCTGAGGTCAAATGCGTACGCGTTGTGAGCAGTCCTTTGTAATATACAAACCTTTAAAATGATAATATAAGCGAATCTCGATAAATTTCAGTATCTCGTCTATCAACCCTTCATTCATCCCGTCTCCGGTTTTACACAAACCGGTAGCGCTACTACAACGAGCAGTAAGCAGAGCAGGGGAAGAGAAAACGCAAGCCTTAAATATCGGGCAGGTTTCCGTGTTTAGGGTTAACTCTGATTCGGTATCACCTTTCCAACTCTGTGAAGTCTATCGATTGGTCCGTTTCTGCTTCCAACCCCTCCCTCCCGCCCTTACCCCTGCAAAAGCGTGTGTTCTTCCCCGCGATTTTCTCCCACTACAGCTGACAAAAATCATACTAGACGAAAAAGAAAACCCTGCAACTTCGGACATCCCCAAACAAACACACTGCCAAACGTTGACGAAGTTGCGCCTACCACCCTACCGTGGCCGGGTGAAGGTGGGTCACAACACAGGTCGGATCTGGCAGGTTTTACCCCTGCTGGCAGGTCCGACCAGGCAGGGTTACCAAAATAAATCGAGAGCCCTGCTCCCACCAACCTTGTTACACGGGGAGTCTTCAAAACTTGTCCAGCGGAGTCTAGTAAACTTGTCCCATTCACTTGTTCAGGCAAAGTCTATTAGCCTTGTCCTGACCTGACAAGTCTACCAGGCTTGTCCCATTCACTCCTTATTTTCGCACCCGAACCGCCCTCCGCGGTATATTACTACTAGCAGCTGTCAATGACATTTCAGCAGAGTCTCGCTGCTCCCCACCATGGCGAAAATCCTCAATTCCCTGCTGCTCGCTCTCTCGGTAGTAAGGGCGCGTGTCCTTGGTGGGCCAAGTTCAAATTCGAGTTCGAACTTTGGGTGGTTACCGGTTTCGTGAATTTCGGCAGGATGGTTCGCGACAATCGTAAAAACAGCGGCAGAAGATGGAAACGAATGTGGAATCCGGACCGGTGACCGGTGGTCGACTTTATGCCCGAACGTGGGCCCGCACGAATTTGTGAACGTGTGTCCTTCTGACCACGTTCATACCTCCGGCGAAATCAGCGACATTGACGAAGGTCAACGTGCGCACTACCGAACACTACGCTGGTTTCTCGGCATCGCCAACCGCCACGTAGACGACATGTCGTGGCACGGAAACCAAAAAGTGCCGCGAATTGGCCACCAATGTCAAATACTTGACCGTCAATAGGCGCCAACATTCTTGACTTTCCAAAATGTGTCGTGCCACTCACGAGGGAGGGAGAGGGGCAGTGCGGTAGGGAAAGAGACGGTAAAAGGGGACCGACTCGTCAAAGGTGACGTCCTGAGATGCAAAGACATGGCGCGAGGCAGGGTCGTAAAACTGCCAGCCAGGCGCGTCAGGGTGAAAGCCAAGGAAGACGCAGGGAATGGCGCGAAGGGAGAGCTTGTCCGCAGTGGTATCGCTGACAAAGGGACGAGCACCCGAGACCCGGAATCGCGATGCGTCGGAGGAGAACTCACCACCTCTGTCAGAGTGCAGACGCAGGACAAGAAAGTCCGACTCGAACCGCTCGCGGAGCTGGAGACGAACAGCGCGGATCCAGGGGATCAAAACAGCAGGGACGTCCCCCTTGCGCTGCAAGGGGAAGACCGTGGTGTAACGCATGTAGTCGTCGACTACCAGCAGGAAGTACCGCTCGCGGCCCTGCCCCTGGACGCGGGCTGGGCCCCACACGTCCAGGTGTAGAGTCTGCAGTGGAGCCTCTGTGGGAGGAAACAAGGAGTGAGGAGCGGCACGCTGCCGCCCCTCGACGCAAGGAATGCAGGGCGGCGCAGGCGAGGGAGGGAGGGAGGGCAGAGACCTGGGAAGACCAGAGACCAGGTAGCGAGAGTGCATGCCACGAAGGCGAGGCAGGGAGGGGTGACCAAGGCGGTGGTGCCAAAGGAGAGTCTGGTGCGACAGGCGGCGCCACTCATACTAGGTAGCTACCTGAGCGGACACGTACAGCTAAGGAGACAAAGGGGTGTAGCGCGACGCGGTGGTGAGGGTGCACAGACCGGACCCAGGCGCACGTGTGAACGTGGCCTGGTGGAGAAGTGGGGTGACGCGGTAACTGCAGTCGGTCACTAGGTAATGGTGGGCCCGAAAAAAAAAAACGGTCCTACGGACCTATTGCTCTGATACCATGTCAGAATCAACGAGCAGGAATGAATGAACTAGAATGAAGTTGGGTACAAGTATGAAACCCTAAAGGGGCTATACCCCATATTGGCTACCCCACTACAGCCTAGACATATATAGCATAAATATAATTTGACACGTTCTCGAAGCACGAGCCCCATGCCCGATGTACTGCACAAGTAACGCACTACCCTCTGCGCAGCTATCCAGTGCTCCTTCCTGTGTCTCCCAGGCGCAACGAAGCGAGCAAGGATGCTGAGAGGGTACGCGCGGTCAGGCCATGTGCACGTCATCATGTACATGAGGCAGCCTACAAGCTCAGGATACGGGCCACTCGGCTCTACGAACTCGTCTGAAGGTGGAGTTGAGGGCGGGTGGCATGTAGGCAGAGGAGTAGGCTGTGGCGAGGAGAACTGAAAGCCGCTGAAGGACCTGCTGCATCATGTGTGACTGAGTCAAAGTGATGGTACGCCATGCTCTGTACCGGGTGATCTGCAAGCCAAGATAGCTACGCAGCTCACCCAGGTCAGTGTAAGTGTGGGTCTTCTGCAGCTCCGCCTTCACAAGGCCAGCGCCTCAGTGTCGGCAATAGCAAAATTCAAGTCGTCGACATACACGAGGATATAGAACGGCGGCAGAGAGGGGTCAGAAACAGCGACGGGTCAGCAGTCGAAGGAGCAAACCCAAGAGCCGCAAGTGTGGTCCTCAGTGTGTCGTGCTACTCGTGAGGCGCCTAGCGGAGACCGTAGACTGGCCGCCGGAGGCTCTACTGGGTACCCTAAGGAAACGACCCAGTGAAGCCAGGTGGCCAGCGCAGCCAGATCTCCTCGTGAAGGCTGCCCTGTAAGAAAGCCGTAGAGAATTCGAGGGAGTGCAGCTCGTAATCACAATGTGCTGCAACGTGCAGTAACACCCAAAGAGTGGTCATCTTCGGGGTGGGGGAGAAGGTCTATAAGAAGTCGACCTTCTGTCGCTGACGGAAGCCTCGAGCAACGTAAAGCGCCTTGAAGGCAGGAGGAGAACCCGGCGGCCGTTTCACTCTGAAAATCCACATGCCATCAACTATGTTCGCCCCATTGACATGCCCTGATACCATGCAAGAGCCCAATCACTAGACCACTGGGATAAAAGGGATTTTTTGTGTAGCGGGTCCGTGCGCCCATAACCCCCCATGCGTACCTGCCTGTAACCCTCCCAAGGATCAATTGGGGATCTCATAGTATAGATCTACTGACACCCTCCAACACTGAGAGGCCCAGGACTGAGCACAACGGCTACCGCCTGCATCTACATACACCGGGACTCAAACCGGAGACCGCTCTGATACCATGTTAGAAATAATGTGTAGGAATGAATGACTAGAACCATGAGATGAGTACAAGTACTAGGTATAGCCCTAAAGTGTTATACTTAGTAGAGGCTACCCCACTATAGCCTACAGATATACAAACACATTTGACATCTCTGTCGACTGTTTCGGCTCTTAAAGCCAGGATCTCAGGTAAGAGAATTGGCCTTCAATTGCAAAACACTTGCAGCGCTTGTTACCCTATTTTTGTAGGCGAATTGACTGGCTGGTTAGGAAAGTGAGCGTGCGGCACACCCACGATTTTGCCCCTAGAGCAAATGCAAAACATTTTGCTGGTACATGAGATTGTTGTGTGTGACGAGAAATTGCAGGCATTGGAGCTTCGTCACCGAACCAGTTTCCGAGCCTTGCTTGGTTCGGACTGAACTTGCGATTTGTCTTTACTTCGCACCCCTCGCTTCACACCTCGTCAGATTGTTCACCTCGCTAACCAATCGCAGCCCAGCTCCCCTCACCAACTGCAAAACAATTGAACTACTTGAGATCCTGGCTTTAATGCCGATGTCGCTGACTTTGCTGCCACTCGCCGCCGTGACTTCGCCACGCGTGTGGTGGCTGCTCCACCTGCCCGTCTTGTGTCCGCCGGGGGTGAGTTTGCCCTTGGATGTGACGTCCTAGAGGACAGGAAGTTTGAGTAGTTCTTGGCAGCCGCTTCTCCCTCTCTCTGTGCCATGCTGCTTTCCCCTGAGAGAGACTCCAACGCCCTTGATATTCTGACTCCTCGCACGTACCGTGAGGCAGTTTCGGGGCAGTGGGCCTCTCATTGGAAAGAGGCCATGGACTCAGAGAAGGCGTCTTGGAGATCCACAGGCACCTACGTCGACGCAGTTTCCCAAGTCGACGGCATGTAGATCTTCAAGGTGAAGCGGCCGTCTAGATCGCCGCTCGGTTTCAAGGCACGCTACGTGGCTAGAGGTTTCAGTCAGTATGAGGAAGTTGAGTTCTTCCAGACCTTCGCCCCGACCCCGAAGATGACAACTCTTCGGGTGTTACTTCACGTTGCAACACAGTGAGACTACGAATTGCACTCCCTCGACTTCTTCACCGCCTTCCTCCAGGGCACCCTGAACGAGGAGATTTGGTTGCATCGTCCTCCTGGCTTCACTGGCACTTTCCCGCCTGGGACCAAGTGGAGCCTGAG